TAAAAATGGGGTCACTGGGAAGTGTCATTTGTTAATATTGATATGAATCTAATATTTAGCAAGTTCCTGGTATGATAATAGTTTTCCTGTATGTATATGTTCTCTCCCATAATGCATTGCATAGGTATGTGCAGTAACATGCTTAGTAGTGTAAAATTTGTAGTTCTCTCCCATAATGCATTGCATATATGTGCAGTAAAATGCTCTGTAGTGTAAAATTTGAAGTTCTCTCCCATAATGCATTGCATATATATGCAGTAACATGCTCAGTAGTGTAAAATTTGAAGTTCTCTCCCATAATGCATTGCATATATATGCAGTAACATGCTCAGTAGTGTAAAATTTGTAGTTCTCTCCCATAATGCATTGCATATATGCGTAGTAACATGCTCAGTAGTGTTAAAGGTAAAGTTCTCTCCCATAATGCATTGCATATATGTACAGTAACATGCTCAGTAGTGTAAAATTTGTAGTTCTCTCCCATAATGCATTGCATACATGTGCAGTAACATTTAGTCTTTCTGCTATGAATAGTTTTCTGATTAATCTAATGGAAGTTTATTGTCTGAATACATCCCATGCTAAATGCTCAATGTGTCCGAATTTAACATATTATTAATAATTCACATTCTTTATTTTTTTTTTTTAAATTTGAACGTAAAAATTCATGAACATCATTTCGCAAATTTGTATATTTTTTATCTTTAATTTTCTTGTGAAAATTATGGGAAAAATTTCTACAGGTTTAATTTTGTGGAAGATGACAGAAGTTAACTTTGCCATCACAATGTTAAATAACTGTACACCAATAAAAATATTTTTTGCTTTATATTTAGATCTACGTTGGTCTTGGTGGCATCATTTGTGCTGGCTTAGCTATTTTGGTCTCTATCGGTTTATCTTCAGCAATGGGGTTCTTTTATGGTCCAGTACACACTATTCTACCGTTTCTACTATTAGGTGAGTAACTATGGTAACTAATCTAATTTATGTATCAACAAGAGAGAGATGATTATGAGAACAGAGCTAATATCACCATGTAATATAAACTTTAATTTTTCGTCACACTCGGTATTCATGTTTGAATACTTTGATAATATTACGGTAATGATGACAATATTTCACTGTCTTTAAAAATCTCAATGAAACTCCTACAAAATTATGCAATTTTCTCTGACTTGCAGAATTTGTTATCGAAATACTTGCTGATACTGAAAATAACATAACATTTGATTGATAAAAGTTGCCTGAGATACATGTGACTGCAATCCTACCTAGTAATAGGAGTACATGCGACTGCAATCCTACCTAGTAATAGGAGTACATGTGACTGCAATCCTACCTAGTAATAGGAGTACATGTGACTGCAATCCTACCTAGTAATAGGAGTCTGCTACTCTTGTGAGCATATATTCGGGCATTTTTGTCTGCCAACCACATCTGATGAAAACAATGATCGAAAACTCTAAAAGAAATTGTGATGCATGTGCAACATATATAAATTTGGTGGTTCAAAATTGTCTTGTAGTTTGTGCTGTTTTCATCAGCTCTTCGACCGGCATTTGGCAGCAGCTCACACAGAGACCATAGTTGTTGAGGTGGTGAACGTCTTAGCAACATAGAAGATTTTGTGAAATAGATCTTCTTAGGAATACAAATGACAAACGCATATTTAGGTTACTGACATCACTAAGCTCATCTGTACTGGGTATAAACTTGAGGGTTCTATTAGAATTATATGACTGGCTAACTTAGTGATATTTTTGACTCCTGTGTACAAAGCACAAAAAGGGAGTCTTTGCAGTTAGTGTGTCTGTATGTGTGTGTGTGTGTGTGTGTGTGTGTGTTCGTGTGTCCGTCTGTTCCACTGATATCTCGAGAACCATACATCAGTTTTTGATGAAACTTGGTGCATAGATGTCTGGGCCAATGCGCAGATTTGATTAGGTTTTGGTAAAAATCCCATGCATATTAACTACCTAATTTGCATGATAATTAGCTGATTTTTAGCTGTTCCATGACTGTTCCACTTATATCTAAAGAACCACTCATTGGATTTTGATGAACTTGGCACACAGATTCTCCAAACTAATGCGCAGATTTGATTAGTTTTGGGTAACAATCTGTCCAATATTAATTACCTAATTTGCATAATGTTCCACTGATATATAAAGAACCACAATATGAATTTTAATGAAACTTTTAAAGAGAACTATGCAGAAACCCAATTAGTTTTTGGTAAATATTTATGCTTATTAATCACCTAATTAATATACCGTTAAAGTCCTAATATAAACCGCATACGTAATAGTAACCGCACCCCCAATTCCGGCTTCGGGGTTAAAGAGTTCTTAAAAAAAATTGAAAACTTGAAAAGTACCTATTACTAACCGCACCCCCAATTCAACAAGACCGTGACTGACTTCATTGTTTCAACCAGCTGTTCCAAAACGGCATTGTTCCTAATTCTATTCATTTGTTTCGACAACATGCCTAAAAATATTCACACCTATTTATTGTTCAGCGGTGATAAGATGTCAGACAGGCAATGAAACTGCTTTTGTTCTGGCGGCGACCTCTGTCAATACTCTTTCTGAATACGTCTGTGTTTCGTAAGTTTTAGACAATGAGCTTTTATCACCGTAAAAGTGTTAAACTGAGCATTGAAGAATAATTTATCTTTCGAAAACAAATAATTTCTTGATTTAAAAAAAAAATCATGTCGTTTTCCCATGGAAATCAAAGGCAAAAGATCGCACTACATTATCGGTAAATCTCTTCCGTGTTGCATTCACCATGAGGTCGCTGAACTGTCATTAACATATTTAAATGAGCTATGTAATTTAGACACGTGGGCACCATCCAGCATTTTGATTGGTTAATTAGCGACTTGACCTATCCGGGTCAATAATACATCACGTGAGCATTCAAAAAACATGGCAGATATCGTATCGGCTGTTTACATGTGACTGAAATCATTCGCTTACAGGGAAACTAAGTTGAATTTTACTTGCATTTTATAACAATTCAACGAATTTATTTTTCGTGCGTTATTGTAATCACTACTAAATAATAATCACCAATATCAACACTTCGAAAACAAGTAAGTTATTCACTTGTGACCCGCAGCATGGCCGGATCGAGCTACCGTTATGTGATCATTTGCTACTAAGCAGTGCATTTGTGTTTTTATTTGAAACTTCTGTTAGAATATACTTTTCGTTACCAAGAAAATTAAAAAAGTAAATGCATATTACATTAAAAATACTGAGTATTTTTTGCATCATGTGGAATTTTTTTGATTGACTGTAATTTTTCAACATTTCGTAACGCCTATTTTAGAACCAAAATAAGGCCTTTCACTCTTCCCCGACGCCTATTCAAGAGATTGTACGGTGTATTGTTTGTTTTGTGCATGTGTTGTGGACAAAAAATGACCACGCCCATTGCAATATGTACGTAATATAAACCGCACCCCGAACTTGAGCTTTTGATCCCAATTTTTAAATTGATACATTGTAATATAAACCGCGGTTTATAATAGGACTTTAACTGTAATTAATTAACACTGATATCTTAATTACTGATCATCACAGTTGAATAAAATTTGGTACATAAATGCTCTAGGACAATAGACAGGCCTGATTAATTTTGGGTTAATATTCTCTAATTAGCATAATAATTCATAATTCTGTTCTGTTCTGTTCATATTAGTTACCTGATTTACATAATTAGTTTTCAGCTTTTCCATCAATATCTCATATACAAGTAATTTTTAATTAATTTTTAATGTGTCTTCAATGTGTACTCTCAGCACATGGGAGTTCTTTCTAAGCTTTTTTTGATTTCTACCTAGGTATTGGTGTGGATGACATGTTTGTTGTTGTACAGGCACTCAATAACTTATCTCCTGAAGTAAAACAGCATGGTAGTACATCAGAGAAAATAGGACAGACTCTTAAGCATGCAGTAAGTCTAAATACAGTAATGACATTTACCTTACAGTTGCATTCTGGGATAATAATACATTCTTGGGGTAGTCACCAATGACAGTTACAGTGAATGCGTGTGAAGGAATAATATTATGACTGTTTCTCCGATAAGCTCAGCGTGATGTTTACAATAGTGCATTTTGAAAACTGGTGCCAATGTCAGCCAGGCATGGGTCGGGCATGTCAGGTCTCAGTTCGGTGTAAAGTTACAGCTTTGGTTTAAAAAAAAAACAGTACGAGTTTTACACATTTACCTTAACTCTACCCAGTGCTTATCGGTGAAACAATAATATTATTAGTTTATTTACACTGCCATTAGTGACTACACCGAGTGGTCGTTCGCTTTGCTCAAGTGTTATGGGTATATTGGTGTTTTAGGGTAGTCTTATGACATATGTATGGTACTGTATATGCTCTATTAGCAGCTCATCCAAGAGAAGCATATATAAGCCACAAATTACTTTGCTTATTTTAATCATGGTAATATCTGAAATTTATGTAAGTGCATGCATTACTAATGAGCAAAGACGGTATCAAGGTTTATGAGGTATATGTTACGTGATATGCTGTGAAGGTCTTGTGTGTGTTAATTGAACAAATTTATCAATGTCATCACATAAAATGGACCTATGGGAATGTTCAATTGTGTTTTTTGCAAAAATAAAATATCGTTGCATTCAAAAATAAGCAGCACATGTTATTTGCCTTATGATTTTTTTGATCATCTTGTAATTTGTTTGACTTCTTCAATTCAAAATCTTTATTGCATTGTTAATAATGCTGCAAGCTGTATAAAAACTTCAACATTTGCCACTGAAGGTTTGGTTAGAAAAACAAATACCTAGAATGAAGTAAATGTTACCAATAGAGGACGTTATACTGAATAGAATTTATCCACAGACAAGCCATGCCTATACTGATTACTTCTCATACCTATACTGATTACTTCTCATGGATTTCTTTCAGGGTGTTTCCGTGACAGTAACATCTATTACAGATTTCCTAGCATTTGGTATCGGTGCTACAACCATTCTTCCAGCTCTCAGGTCTTTCTGCTTCTTTTGTGCCATAGGCATCCTTTTCTTGTTTTTGTTCAGTATCACCATTTTTGCTGCAATGCTTGCAATTGATCTTAATCGTATCAACGCCAACCGAGATGCTTGCTGTTGCTGTTTTACACATAGTAGTTCCTATCAACCGTGGACATGCGGCACTAAAGACAGACTACAGTACTTCTTCAGAAACATTTATGGTAGTTTTATTATAAAGTTACCTGTAAAGGTAAGGCCAGACAAAAACAATTCTAAATGGTTCTAAACGGGAACTTACATTTGGGTTCTGTCCATCAGTGATATGTTGTGTTTGGACAAGTACATGAAGTCGTGAGTTTGCTTGTTGCTTGTCTCTACCAAGGTATGTGTGGGATTCAAATCGGTACTCTGTAGCGTGACATTGAGTTGGACATATTGATACGCAAATGAATAATCTAAAACAAACAGGGCTGGAGACTAACCACTAAGTGTTTGTGAACTCTCATTGCAAGAGAAATAGCGCCAGATAACACATCGTACATGTCTACACACCTAATTACGGGCTTTCAATGGCTAATTCTGAGGTCACGAAACCATGAAAATAAACATTATCTTTGGGAGTGGCTGAATTATTAGAACAAAAACAAAAATTATATTTTGAGGGCCATTAACGTGAGGGAAAAAAAGGTGCAGACGGTCATTATATGCACCATACAGTAAGAGAGTCATGTCATGTTTTGTAGACAATGTCTCGGTTCATTCTTGCTGCTTGTCTGGGGAAAAATGCAACTTTCGTAAATTATCTGCTTCTGCATTTTGTACAAATTTTTAAAAGGATGTTCATGATGAGAATCAACGTTTAAACTTTTTGCCAAAAAACAGTTGCTATGAACACCTAAGATAAGGTTCCCAATAATTCCTACTACTGGTTATATATTTCTCCCCAGATATGTGTCATTGTTGTGGCACTTGGTTTGCTCGCAGTCAACATCTGGGGAACCATTAATCTGAAACAGCAGTTTAAATTTGAGTGGTTCTTACCGGAAGATTCTTTCATTGTATCCTACATCAACACAGCTGACAAGGTAAGCATCTTTTTCTGTATTCTACCTCAACTCGACTGACCAGATAAGCATCTTTTTTTTATCCTACCTCAAAGCAGCAGGTGAGGTAAGGGCATTCGATCATTAAATATGGCACATATGGGGGATAATCACATCTCTATTGAAATATAGCAAGTAGCAATTTGTGTTTCTTCCAGAAAGTTGTGTTTTTCCGCTTTGCTTGTAAATTGTTTTCAGTTACATACTGTTATCATCGTTTAGTTTAGTATATTTCACTTTTTGGGTCTAACACAATGGCCAACACATGAATACATAACACGAAACACTGGGATAATACCAATAATGTATTGATCTATCCTAGTAGTTATAGAATTTATATTTGTTTTCAGTTACATACTGTTATCATCGTTTAGTTTAGTATATTTCACTTTTTGGGTCTAACACAATGGCCAACACATGAACAAATAACACGAAACACTGGGATAATACCAATAATGTATTGATTTATCCTAGTAGTTATAGAATTTATTTTTGTTTTCAGTATTTCCCATCATCAGGAGTACTAGCAAATGTGTATGCAGTCAACGTGAATTATTACACCGAGTTTGAAGCGATGGATAACATCTACAGCGAACTGAAGGATGACCCCTATGTCTTGGACTCGTCTGTTGACAGTTGGTACAATGATTTTAGAAACTGGATGGTAATTACTAAAGCCGGTGATGTTTATTTGGGAGTCAGTAAGTATTTGTAGCAAGCGACTGTTTGATTTGTACAAAATTCAGTAATCAACAAACATTGGAAGAGTGTTCTACTCTAACCCAGAATATTTTTATTATAAAACAACATCAACAGCAAACAGTGCAGACAGGTCAGTATAACCTTGCCGAGATTCAGGTGTGGGTATTCAAAATGGCTGTGCTCAATGTTCGATCATTGGCTGAATATGTTAAAAATGTGTTTTCTCTCACATTCTTAATGTAAACTCATATGGCTGATAATATCACACTTTTGTATACAAATATGTGTAACACGATAAAACAAAGAATGCAAAACAACAAATATGCGAAATGAAGCATTTTACAATGGTACATGTATATATTTAAAAGCCTTAGAAATTATATTACTGTAAAAGGATTAATTATTCACTGGGTTTTAAGTTAGCTTACTTCGCTGACTGGAAAATGCGCTA